ACGCAAATTGAAGCCCGAAAGAGTCCGGTTCTCGTCAAACAGCCTCATGGGAGACACTTTCTCCAATTGCCACCACTAAACACATTCAGTACATCAATGTATTAATGCATTTACATTCATATTAAAATTCATCCACAAATATTTGTAAACAACTTTTTATAAATCAAAACAAAAAGTTGTTTAGTCTTTGAAAATGTTGAAAGACAGACCATAAGACATGAAAATACAAAATACAAGCTTTGCAGTAGGGCTTTGATAAAGCTTTGCAACTGACAGATAAGGGCTTTTTATATATTAAACTTATGGCCAATATTGCTGTTAACACTTACAAACTTTATTAAACCAATCATGCTTTTGGTTTCTCTGCTTATTAATTTAGAAACGCCTAAAAAATAATCAAAAAATACTGTCAAAAACAGCTAAAAACTCACGGATTTTGCAAAACTAAATAAGCTTTTGGTTTCTCCGGGGACGAGACAAAACGTACCTGTAATTCAAATCAACAATTATTTCCTACCAATCATATCATTAAAGCTTATCATTCGATAGTACGCAAATTGAAGCCCGAAAGAGTCCGGTTCTCGTCAAACAGCCTCATGGGAGACACTTTCTCCAATTGCCACCACTAAACACATTCAGTACATCAATGTATTAATGCATTTACATTCATATTAAAAGTCATTCACTAATATTTGTAAACAACTTTTTATAAATCAAAACAAAAAGTTGTTTAGTCTTTGAAAGTGTTGAAAGACAGACCATAAGACATGAAAATACAAAATACAAGCTTTGCAGTAGAGCTTTGATAAAGCTTTGCAACTGACAGATAAGGGCTTTTTGTATATTAAACTTATGGACAATATTGCTGTTAACACTTACAAACTTTATTAAACCAATCATGCTTTTGGTTTCTCTGCTTATTAATTTAGAAACGCTTAAAAAATAATCAAAAAATACTGTCAAAAACAGCTTTTTGAGTGCCTAAAACGTTTTGATTTATTCGAAAACCAAAGAGGCCCCTGCTCTGTTTTGCATGGACATTAAGTTTAGTTGTTAATAAAGGATGGTTAGTATAGTAATTTCGAATAGTAAGCTATCCTTTGTTTGAAACAATTTTTAATAAAAAACAAAATATTTTAACAGTTGTTTACAATACGATACATACCATACAACACATAGCGTCCCATAGGTTTCAATAAATTGTAGCCTTTGTTGGCATCGCCTCCACAGATACAGTCCAACACTAAATCGACGCCATCGGGACATATCCTATAGACATTCATTACATTTTAATCTCTATAAAACAATGTGCCATAAAATGGGTAATACTTCTTGATCTCCTGGACATAATCATTGGCGGAGTCGATGAGATGAGTCACATTCGTGATCGACTCGTGCTTGTGTTTGGAAGCGGTTCCGATCAGTGTTACGTTACCAACAGTTTTGGCCAATTGTGCCACCGCTTGACCCTTCAATACCACACAAATGTCATATAAAAACCATTCAAAACAGCCATTCGTTACAATCACTTACAACACCTCCGCCGACAGAGTGGACGAGAACTGTTTGATCGCTCTTAAGATTACCGACACAGAAGAGGAGGGCGTACGCGACCACGTAATTCATGGTGACGGCCACCGCGTCTTCGTAGCTCATCTTCGCTGGTATTTTGTAGACATACTTCGCGTTAACGGACACGAGTTCGGCCCAGGCTTTGGAATCGCTCAAAGCCGACACCCGATCGCCCACTCGAATACCGGTCACCCCTTCGCCGACGGCCTCGACCTCTCCCGCGCACTCAAAGCCCATAATAAAGGGTGTCTTGGATTTGGGCGGGTTATCGATCACACCCTGTCTTAGCATTAGATCCGGGAAATTGAGACCACTTTTGGGGGCAAAAAAATATAGGCATAATTGGATGAGTTATTCATTGATATGTTGTATAAATAAATTGCAATAATTAATGGTTTCATATAATAAACATATCAAATGACTTAAAAATCTGCTTTCAATGATAAAAACTCCTTTACTTTCAATTAATCGACAAACAATTGGGTTTCAACTGAAAAGTAATCAAATTCAACGGAAAACTACACCCATTTGTGCCAAACATCTGGAACCGTATCAGTGACTCACTGGACATGATTTCTGCCAAATCCATGTCTCAATCAACACTTCTTACTGTATTTTCGCAATTATTGTATTAAAAGTGAGATTTAATTATAAGGTATACGCGCTATAGTGTGTGACAATCAATGCATAAACAACTAAATCGAGTCTATAGTCTCCTATCAAACAATTTATCGCAAAAAAATGTTTTTTCAATTCTTTGAGACGAAAAATATTTACATTTGTGTCAAACAAATCAATAGAAAAATAAAAGATGCAAAAAACTAATCAAAAATAATTGCTTTCAAAACAAGTGATAATCAAAAAGCAATTGACAGCACATACCAGGCCTTCACTCTAATGAGTACTTCTCCTTCCGATACTTGAGGTTCCGGTCGTTTCAACACTTTGACAAACTTCAGACCTAAATGGCAGACAAAACGAGACAATGAGTTAGTGGTATGGGTTGGCGATGGCGTGTCTTCGGCCACAACTCACCCCCAAAGCCGGTCAACACAACGGCGCGCATCTCTTTCACAGGAGGTGTCTGTGTCTTGTCTTCCTCTCCATTTTGATCACCATTTTTCTGGTCTTTGGTCTCCAAGTCGTGACCGTTGTTATCATTGGTCGCCGTTTCGGACATTTCGCTCGCAAAGCACTTCTCGCACAACAAAATCAAAGACTTTTAAATATATGACAAAACAATCAAACGCTCAGACTATCAGCTAATTAATGAAACAGTTGTGTGAATACAGACAGAGTGGGAGAGACTGAGAGAGACAGAGCAGAGAGAGCTGTGTTGGTGTGAGAGAGTGAGAGAGCAAAGCAGAGATGAGACAGTCTTTCATACACTGTATGCGAGAGAGAGAGAGAGGAGAGTATTGTGAGAGACGTTGAGAGAGTGAATGAGAGAGCGATTGCCGATTGGCTGCGAGAGTGAGTCCACCCATTCGTACAGTCATTGCATTGAAATGTTTTTTCAAACTGAAGTCACTGTTTGTTGAATGCATTGTTCACTTCATTCACTCCTCACTACAAAACACGTGTCTTTCGGTGCCATCTGTCGGACGGACAGCACGTGTGCTCTCACTGTCTGTTTGTTTTGGTTTTGTGGACTAAATATGGGGTGATTTTTGTGGTCAATCTTTTTCATCATATCTGTGGTGACCATCGCGTGTGAGTCCAGACATGAGCGCCGATTACGAGTCCAACTTCGACACCGAGAGTGAGGCCGAAGACAAGCGGAGTGTCAAACGCCAGTCACGTGAGGACTGGTCCGCAACCGAGTCTTCGGCGGCCAAACAACTTCGGCCGTCGAAGAATGTATTGGTGGACGAGACGGACAAAACGGAACGAATCATCAGAAATCGGTTCCAGACATTGAGCGCTTACTCCAGACATAAAATGCTGGTCAATGAGTATATATTGAATTACTCGGGAAGTACTGCCAAACTGGTGAGAGACACGTCCAGAGATGTGACCGAATACCAAGTGCTCAAAGATAATCACCGATTCATTTGGGACGACGTCTCCGAAGACGACCTCTCATGGGGTCAACGATTGGCCAAAAAATATTACAATCTATTGTTCAAAGAGTACTGTATTTGTGACTTAAGCCGATATAAAGACAATAAGTTTGGGATGCGTTGGAGGACTGAGAAGGAAGTGCTCGAAGGGAAGGGACAGTTCGGTTGCGGCGGCAAAGGCTGTGCCAACACAGAGGCGCTCAAGAGTTGGGAAGTATTGTTCAAATACGAGGAATTGGGTGAACAGAAGAGCGCTTTAGTCAAACTTCGTTTGTGTGAAGACTGTTCACCAAAACTCAATTATAGACAGAAACGACGGGAAATCAAAAGGCATAAGAAATCACATAAAAAGTCCAAAAGTGATAAATCAAAGAAACCAAGTGATGGCGAAGAAGGCGTCGAAGTATCTGAACCAGAAGTTAGCAGTTCTTCTGCTAATACATCCCATGAAATCACTGATACTGTGAATGAGATTTGGACTAAACCACAGATTATTGCCGATACAGAGCAACCAATTGATGACGAATTTGATCGATATTTGGATGACTTATTAGTATAGACTTTGCCATTAAATTCATTGCAATTTTTAATTTTATAAAAATAACAAAATTATCACTGAATTGAATGTCTGTTCAATTCTTATCACTTGGTTTTCATTTGAAACCTTTGTTATGAATCAATTGATTGTATAAAATATTTTATTTGTTTTACGTTTTAATATTTAGTTACTCACTATAATGTGAATAAAATTGATTAATGTAATTAACGAAACATGTATTATTTGAATGCGTAACGAGTGGGCGATCGTGAATGCGATCTCTTCCTAACCGATGTCTTTTGAGGCAAACTCTTGTATAATGTTTTAGTGTTGTCGTCGTCTTCGCCATACAAGTCATCAATAAATGTGTTTCGAAAATATTGTCTCGAATTTAAGTATAATATTAGCGTAATTGTGATGACAAGAGCGAGTGCTAAGGGAACCGAACCAATGATATTGAAGTTAACTGATCCCCGGAATGAGCGAATGGGCTCTATTCGGTAGTGTAGTACTGGTAATAGAGTTAAGAGTGTGTATATCAATAACAAACCACACCATCGGCTAACAGTTTGTGTA